TTTGTGCCCGGCCAGGCCGCGCCGCGCGGGGGGACCGCCACCCGTGCTCTTCGCGCCGGGGGCGCTGACCTCCGCCGGCAACACGCCGCGCGCGGGCGCGGGCACGGGCGCGGGCGCTGGCGCGGCCGGCCCCGCCCTGGCCAGCCAGCTCATGCACCTGGGCATGCTGTCGGGCATGGCCACCCCCGCCGCCGTGCTGGTGCTGCAGCAGCAGCAGGCAGCCATGCAGCACGCGGTGGCCTCTGCGGCTGCAGCAGCGGCTGCCGCCGGCACGGTGCGTTTGTGTGGTGGTCTTCTTGCTGCCTCGAGAGCAGGACCTGGGGGGGTGGGCTCTGGAGCCCCTCACGGCGTCCTGTTGGCCTGCTTCCTCGAGCTGCCCTGTCTGGGGAAACTGTCTGGGTAGGGGCCAGGGCTCGCTGAGAACTCTTGTCCACCATCAGATGCCCATGTCACCCCCCCATCCCCCTCGCACTCGATCGCAGAAGGTGCCGGGTGCGAGCTTTCAGGAGCTGCCACGAGAGGAGGCAGCACCCCCCGCCGCTGGGCCCCCGGTCGAGCGCGACGCAGCGCCCACGTCCAGGGAGCTCCGGACCGTAGGCCCCTTGCCCGAGCCGAGCCCTGCGCAGCAAGGAGAGGCAGGGCCGAGTGTGGGCCGCGCTGGCGACTCGGAGCCCAAGCCTACGTACGACATCCTGGCAGGGCCTTCCAGCACCGACTCTGGGAAGGAGGACGCCCAGGGCGACGCCCAGGTGCTGTCCGCGGTCATGGAAGCCATGCTGGCCGTCGCCTGCAAGGCGCTGCCGGGCGGGGCGGGCGAGCCGAGTCCTGTGCCACCGGCGGGCACCTCCGGAGTGGGGACGCTGCGGCGGGGCAGATGCGCGGCATGTCCCATGCAGAGCATCAGCCCACCGGCGGCCAGACGGCGATCGACGGCAGCGCCGCTCCCTCGCAAGACGTCGCGCTACTTGTGGCTAACTCTGATCACGGAACAGACCAGCACGGCGAGCAGCGTCCTGCGCCGTCCGAGGGAAGGGCGGCTCGAGGGCGTGGACCTCTCCTCTCTGTCCACTCCCCCGCCTCACATTCACGGGAGGCTGCTGCCGGCTCACCACCTGACCCCAGGTCTTGAGGTGACTCCCGGCCATTCCACCCCAGCACGCACCCAAGCCTCCCCAGAGCCCCCAGCCCCGGAGCACCTCATGAGCTGCCCGGCACAAAATCGAGTGCCTGCACCAGCTTGGTCCACAAGACTGACAGTCTATTCCTTGCTCAGCCCTGACATGATGGCCATATGACCATGTGACCGCTTTCCTGACCCCTCATCACCTCATCCCAGCTTTTATAGACCCTGACTCTGTTACCTGTCCTCGGTACACCGCCCCAGGGGATTGGAAGGATTAGAAAAGGAGTCAGGCCTGTTCACAGTTCAGCACGCGCAGCACGATCCTCCTCCAGTTCTTTGATTCGAACTGAAGCTGACCGCGGAAGCGTGGTGTCCGGAGGGGTGTCCATGTACCGACATCCCCCGTGGAGCCGTGAGGAATCTCTTCGCGAACATATCAGGCTCGAGGGTAGAGACCATTGTGCCCGCATCATGTGACGTCCAACCAGCGGCCCACCTCTTCACACCCAGGCACGCTCTCGAGGTGCCGGGACGTCAGCCCCACCATGGCGGCATCACACATCTTCGGAAGCAGTCTCATGGACTTGATCGAGGCGGGCGGCGATGGACCGATTGAAATTGACACGACCCTGCTGTACAGCGCCATGCCCTCCAGAGAAAACAGCACTGCCAGCTCACCGACCAGGCAACCGCCCTCGAGGCGGGGGTCCCAGATATCACCTGAGGCTTTAAATGCTGACCAACTGGATTCCCAGCTGAAACACACACTTTTGCGCCCGGAAAGAGGCTTGGCAGGTGTGTTTAGGGATCTGGTAGTGGAAAGCCATGCTGGTTTGCTGGGTATGGTAGCTGCGTCACTTGCTGATCCCCAATATACACCAGAAACAAGACTCTCCTATGATCAAACTCATGCAACAGGAGATGATTATCATGAGTCTCAAGGCACGGCAGGGGCTTGCAAGACGCGAAAATCGCTGTGGCAAGAGCGGCAGCAATCCTGGACTTCAAGACAGCCTCCCATTGAAGACCGTGTGCAGTTGCAGGCTCGACGGAGGGAGCTTAGGCTAGCCAGCTTGCGTGAGGAACTAGAAAGGGAAGCTCTGGGAGAGTGCACATTTGCTCCAAAGGTATGGTAAATGATGGGTGGGTGGGATGCAAATCTCTGTGATCGTCTGGTGTGTCATCTACAGCATTGCATTACATGCCCTCTCAAGTTAGTCCTCTACACCAAACTGAGAGCATGTGCAGCCAAAAGCAAGCTCTCCCTATTCCATTGCAGCTGGTCGCTGACTCGGCGCATGTCCTTGGACCAGACTACCCCTCCCTGACGACGAGGAATGCTGCACTACACAGGAAAAGGGCTTGCATGCAGGCGAGTAACATTCAATTGTGAGGGAACACTCGACAACCAAGTCGTGGTCCTCAAGTATGCATCGCATTTCCCCTGTGGGGCATGGCATGTCGGATACTACAAGATGGGAACCCCGCTGTCGGCACTTGCAGGAGGAAGCTGCTGGAACGTTTAAGCCAGAGCTGAACCCCAGATCTCTCATGCTGGCTGAGGCTGCAGCAGCTCGGAAGCTAGAGGGAGGGTTGGATAACAGAAAGGACACTCAAACACAGCAGCACAGTCCAGGTATGTTCGTGAACTAAGGCACGTGATGTCATCCGGGTTACATGCAGAGCATGGTATTGACATGGGCAGCGCTCAGCCGCCACATGGACCACCTAAACATGCCCAGCCCACACACTCATTTGTAGAAGATGCCATTGTGCTTCTTGCAGAGAGCATGCTCTTTTCCACTTTTATCTTAGGTATACCTCACTCCTCTCTCCCCTCGCCCTCAGTATGTACCTTTGAGCCAAAACTCTACTTGGCCTCTCAGCGGTTACTGGAGACATCAGCCACCGTCCCCGCATACTTCCCTGAGCGGCAAAAGTACTTTGAGCTCAAGAAGCAGGAGCGATTGCAGCAGCTACAAGCTGACGAGGTGGGGGCCGCCAGGGTTGCCCTGTGTTGCCTTGAGCCTGCAATGGGTTCTCAACCTACAAAGAGCTGGGCCTGGTTTGAAGTGCTGGTGTCATGCTTCGGCCCTCCGGCATGATTCCCTAAGCAAACACGACATTCGTCTCACACCAGCACCACTCACTTTCCCACCCCATTCCCCCCCCGTGCACACCTTTCTTCCCACGCAAGCAGTCGCTGACCTTTGTGCCACACACACGGCCCCTGCCTGGTGCCGCCGAGCGTCCAGCCGAGACCCCTGCCGAGCGAGCCCTCCGAATGGCTGTCAAGGAGCCCGCCGAAGCAGCGGCACGCCGAGCCGCCGCTCGGCAGGAAGCCGCCGCTGCGCTCTCCTTCCAGCCGGCGATCAACGCGCGGTCGAGGCGCATCGGGAGGGTAGGCAGGGTCTGCAGGGGCTCCAGTGTGCCTTGCTGTTCTGGAGAAACCAAGGGCGGTGCTGTCTTTGGCCGGCTCAGCCCTTCCACTGGGCACGTTGGTAGATGCTTGCTTAGGATGGGGCCCTGTGCAGTCAACCTCCTGTACGCCACGACCAGTGATCTGCTGCTGCGCACTGAATGTCTTCCTGCCGCCGAAAAACGCCATCCTGAATCATGATCGCAGGAGAGTGGGGTCGACGTGCTCCTCACCAGGCCTGCCGTGCCGGCATCCGCGAGGAGTGCCCAGGATGACTCGGCGCCGCCGACCAGTCCGATGCAGCACAAGCCGCTGAGGCATCGGCGGCGAGGGTCACCTGGCGCAGCGGATGCTGGAAGCACAGCGCCCTCCCACCTGCCGCTCCCGGAGCGCGCGCTGCAGAAGGCAGCAGAGCGCGAGGCTCTCCTCGCGGCAAAGCGCGCGGAGATCGACGCGGCGCGGCTGGCGGAGTGCACCTTCTCCCCCGCGCTGGTGGGCGGTCCCCGGCGGCCAGCGGCGTTGGCCGCCGCGCCACCGCCTCGGGGCCTGGGCCGCCACCTTGAGCTGCAGCGGCTGGCGGCGAAGCGGCGGGCGGAGGCCGAGGAGAGGGCGGCGCAGGTGTTCCGGCTCGCCCCCCGCGCGCCGGCGCACCCTTTCACCATCCCGCAGCCATTTCGGTTGGAGGGTCTGGCCAGGCAGGCCCGCAGGAGAGCGGAGGGGGAGGAGAGCCACCAGCTGGCATAGGGGGCCTTGAGCGGTTGTGTGGCCGGTGGGCGGACGAGGGCAACGCTGAAGACGCTCATTCCTCCCCCGGTCACGCATTCAACCGAGTATCCATTGCTGCGTGAGCCTTGCTGTGCCTATCCTTTAAATACGCGATGCATCCCCGGCTCTGTCACGGATGCCCAGGCACCGAGACCCAGGGCGCGCTCTTCAGGCATGCAGCGCCACCCCCAACACCCCCGGCACCCGGCAACCCTCCCAGCCACCCTTTTCCCCTCACGCAGAGTGCTGGTCCGCGTGGTACTTTGCCAGGCTGCCGCCCGCCAGGCGCGGCCGGGGAATGTCGCCCACCGCGCGACCCAGCGCCTCTGCCCGCGCGCGCGCCAGCTCGGCGGCGCGCCGCCGCAGCTCGGCGACGGCGGTGGGGTCGGCCTCGTCCTCCGGAGGGCCGTAGCCCCCCCCGCCCGGGGTCAGGAGGCGGATGCGGTCGCCGCCCTGGGCCTGGACGGTGGCCTTGCCGCCCAGGCTGACGGTGGTGCCGTCGCGGCGTTGCCACAGGTTGACGCCCCGGGCCCCAGGCCTGCCACCCAGGATGCCAAAAGGGGCCAGCGCACGTCGCTCGGAGAGGATGGAGGCGGTGAGGGGACGCAGAAACTCGATCTCCCGCTCCACGCCATCGCCGCCGCGCCACATGCCCTCGCCACCGGTGCCTGTGCGCGGTTGCGGATGGGCGCGTGGGGTTGCGTGATTGCCGGAGGAGAGGAGGATGAGGTATTTCGGCACCCCCAAAGTACCAGCCCCAGCACTGGCACCTGGTCTGAGGCAGAAGCGGTGCAGGACCAGCGGAAACCGACGCTCCAGAATCTCGGGGTCGGTGATCCGCGTGTTGGTCATGTGGGTGTGCACCCCGGATCGCCCGTGCCAGCCTGGCCCGGCGCCCGCACCGCCGGCCACCGTCTCATAGTAGCCCAGCCCCTCGTCCCCAAACGTGAAGTTGTTCATGCATCCCTGGCGACAGGGAGCCGGGAGTACAGGGTTATTGTTCAAGGGGAGGGGGGATCATGAGGGAGCCAGGTTGCAAAGCATCAGCAATGAATTACTACCGGGCAAAGTGGCCAGGCGATGCCGGGCGACTCATCTCAAGCTTCGCCCTCTCCCTGTGCTCTCCTGTGCGCTCCCCGCTTCACCACAAACCCCATTCCCTCGAAACAACACCCCACCCCCACCTGGGAGGCTGCCGCGGCCTGGAAGGCCTTGAGCACCACGTCTGTCACGCGCTGGCTGGTGAGCACGTTCCCGCCCACCACCCCCGCCTCGGGGGAGGGGTGGAGGAGGGAGCGCGGGGGGATGACCACCTGGATTGGTGCCATGCAGCCATGGTTGAGCGGTATGTCGCGCGTGACCATGCAGCGCAGCGCGTAGATGATGGCCGAGGCGGTGACGGCCGGGGGCGCATTGGTGTTGCCCCACACCTGGGCGCCCGTGCCCGTGAAGTCGAAGACCGCCGACCCCGCCGCCGCATCCACGCGCACCGCCAGGCAGATGGGCGTGCCGTCGTCCATGGAGTCGCGCGCGGTCACGACTCCTCCTTCGCCCAGGCCCTGCGTGGCGGCAAAGGCGCGGAGCATGTCGCGCACAGCCGCCTCGGCCGCTGCCTGAATGTGGGCCATGTAGGCGCCGACCACGGGCAGCGTGTACTCGCCGATCAGCGAGCGCACGAGCGCGATGCCGCGCGTGTTCGCCGCCACCTGGGCCTTCAGGTCGGAGACCACGTCGGAGAGGTTGCGGGAGCCCACAACCCCCGGGGGGTCGCCGGGTCGCGTCCCGGGCGCCAGCATCAGCTCCCGCAGCCCTTCCTCCATGAACCTTGGATGGGTGGGTGGAGGAGGGGGGGGGCGGGATGAGGGAGTCCAGGGTGGCTGTGGACGGCATTGTGGCATTGGGCACTTTGGATGCGGGAGTGACACGCCTAGTCAAGCTCGGTAGAGCAGGCAAGCGAGCAAGCGGGCAGGCAGGCGCAGTGTCATTCCCAGGCAGCCTGACGACTCTGCAACATTGTCGCTGCATGCGGCTCGGGTGATGGGCTCCGCAGAGGGATCTCCCAGAACCCCCAGGCCAGGGTGGTGGAAAGCAGTCGACACACGTAATTCTAGCGGCAGCTCAACCAGCCTCATCGCCCCACCCCCTCCCAGCATCAGGCCAGACCTGCCGTGGGAGACGAGCTTGTATGAAACCACGGCCACACCCTCCTCCACCAGGAGGTGGGAGTGTGGGGGCATTGACCCCGGGGAGATGCCCCCGATATCTGCATGGTGCCCGCGTGAGGCGACAAAGAAGACGACCTTGCCCTCATTGAACACGGGGGTGATGACCGTGATGTCGGGCAGATGGGAGCCACCCGCCAGCTGAGGGTGGTTGGCCATCACCACGTCGCCCTCCTGTGCAGGGATGCAGGATTGAGAGGCGGTGGGATGAGTGGATCTAGGCAGGGTGCACACCACGGCCCTGCGCCACAGCCTGCCATGAATAGAGGTGCGGAACCCCCTGGCCACTCTTTCCGCACTGGACCCCATCCCCATCGAAAACAAAGCAAACCCCCTCGCACCTCCAGGGGTCCATGCAGTCTGCACCCCTCGCCGTCTGGCGCGTAGTACCCAATCTGGAAACGGACCGCCTCAGACATTGCACCGAGGTGCACGGGTAGGTGGGGCGCGTTGCTGACCAGGCGGCCCTCGGGGTCAAACAGCGCGCAGGAGAAGTCTAGGCGCTCCTTGATGTTGACCGAGATGGAGGTGCGCTGCAGGACGCGCCCCATCTGCTCCGCAATGCCCATGAATCTGCAAGGGGAGAGGAAGGGGGGGGGGGTAGAGAGGGGTGGGCTACAGGCCGGGGCACATGCTACCCTCCTGGGCGTCTCCAGGGCGTGCTTGCAACACCATGCCCTCACAGCACAATCCTTCCCGATCCTGCTGGGAACCCAACAATCTCTCCCATCCCCCGCTCAAGCACCCACCGGTGGGAGAACACGGCCAGCTGGATGGGGTCTGCTTCCAGGGACAAGCCCTGCTTGCCCCCCGCGCCCACCGCCTCGTCCCCGATGCTGATCCTCACGTCCCCCGCCGCGGTGAGGAAAGCGGCGCACCCCGGCTCAACCACGATCGTGCTGATGTCGTCGATGAGGATAGCTGGGCCGGGCACCCGCTGCCCCGGTGCCAGCCGGCCCAGCAGGAAGGCGGGCGTGTCCTGCCGGCCCCCAATCTCAAAGTAGGCAGACACGACGGCGTCGGGGGTGGGCACCTCGTCTACGGAGTGGGGGTGTGGTGGTGATGGCCGGGTGGGCGTCAGTCCACTGGGCACGGTATCGCAGAGCTCGTGATGGCAGTCAGCCTCACTCGATACACTTCCCCCAGTCCCAGCTGCCACCTGCCTGTCCATCACCTTTGCGCTCTGGCGTGGGGTGGGCAGCCTGGGCTGCGGAAGAGGTCCCCACGCCCCTCACCCTCACGTCATCCACCACGATGTCCCGGCCCTCCAGCACAAATCCAAATTCACGCTGCAATGAGGAAGGCGAGGAGGAGACTGTCTCGGAAACTTGGCGAGAAGAGCCACCAGGCAGGTCCTGCACGGGAGCAGACAGAGAGACGCTCATTCAAACACCTGTCCCCTCTCACACCCCCAACTCCCACCTTGTATCCCGCCTCGAACGCGGCGGCAAAGTTGCCATCCTCGGGGGTCAGGGTCATGATCGGCACGTCCGTCCCGCTGTACCGCAGGTTGAGGTACCTCTCGCACTCAATCTGACCCCGGCCGAAGCCCTGCGCCTCCAGCTGCCCCGTCACCTCGGCCTCCAGGGCGTCCAAGCGCTGGTGCAGCTGCGCCAGCGACTCCTCGCTCAGCGAGGTTGCCGTCGGCTCCTGTGCATGTGCGGTGTGGGAACAGCATTCAGTGATCTGACATAGCGACATCAGGTTGACAGAAATAGGACAAGGGGGGTGGCGTCAGACGCTGAGTGCCAGGCCGGGGAATGATCCCACTCATGGGCCGCCCGCCCCCTCCCCACCCCTCCCCCACCCCCGCACGACCGCGAATGCACAGACACAGGCACACAAGTCTCCCACCTCTTCTTGCTCAGTTCTTCCACTCCATTCACCCACCCAAAGAATCTGGACCCATGCACGGCCACCCAATCCACACCGTCACAACAAGCAACCTGCGCCTCCTTGACCACTTGGGCCAGCCCGATGCCGACGGCGGAGAGGATGCCGGAGTAGCGGTGCACAAAGACGGTTCGGATGCCGAGGGCGACGGCGATGGCGCAGGCGTGCTGCCCGCCTGCGCCGCCGAAGCAGGCGAGGACGTGGCGGGAAACGTCGTGCCCCTTCATCTGAGTCAGCGCGCGGATGGGGCGGCACATGGCCTCATTGGCCACACGCAGGAAGCCCACCGCCACCTCGTCCACCGACTTGGGCGGCGCGCCGGCGGCCGCGCCGTGCGCATTCACCTGCTCCGTCACCGCTGCCAGGGCTGTCCTGCGGGCGAGCGGCGGGGATGGCAAGGTTTGGAGGGGATATACGCTTGCCCCACGGGGACAGGGTTGGGGCCGCCTCGGACCCCATGGACATGCATCGGCTCCATACCCGACGCACCCATCCGTGGCCCCCACCCCCCAACCCCCCACCCCTCCATCCAGCCGCCCCACCTAGCGACGTCCAGGTCCAGGGGCTGGTCCTCCGTCTGCCAAAGATCTTGGGGAAGAAGGCGGGAACGATTTGGCCCAGCACCAGGTTGGCGTCAGTGATGGCCAGGTGCCCGCCCTTGCGGTAGCAGACGGGACCCGGGTGAGCGCCAGCGGATTCGGGTCCCACGCGGAAGACGCCCGACTCGAAGAAGAGGCGCGAGCCGCCCCCCGCCGCCACGGTGTTGATGTCCAGCTGGGGCGCCTGGATCGTGACCCCGGCGGTGGTGCTCTCAAAGACGTGCTCCAGGGTGCCCGCGTAGCGCGACACGTCGGTGCTGGTACCGCCCATGTCGAAGCCGATGAGCTGGAGGGAGGCGGGGTCCACACCCTCCCACTGCGTGGTCAGCGCATACCCGACATACCCACCTGGATCAGGAGGGAGAAGGCTGGGATCGAGGAGGAGGTGCGGATGTCCACACTGGCCTACCACCCAGGTAGCTTCTGCATGCACACCTTTCGGCATCGCGACCCCATGAGACTCCATCATCCAGAAGCATTCTCGCAATTCAAATGATACCTCGGTCCGCCCTCCTATCTGCGTCCCAGCTTGCCTGCAGGCCCAGACAGGATGGCCTTGTGCCCCGAGAAGGCGCCAACCTCTGTCAGGCCACCGTCTGACTGCATGAAGTACACGGGGGTGTCCTGGATGCCCGCATCGAAGCCAGCCTGGAAAGTCTGGATGTACCTGTTGGAGACGGTGGGTGAGGGGGAGGGGCATCAGCTCGAGGTGAGAGACTGATGACTTTTTCAAACGCAAAATCAACAAGGGCATGTTGAGATTTGGGGCAGGTGCCACGTCGAGGCCAGTCCTGCGGTGGCAGATCCTCGACACACTCAGCAGAGCGCACTGCATCCCAGGGGCCAGGCGCTGTAGGCCAGGCACCCATTCGAAACCTGCTGCACCCCTCAGTCTTGCTCCAAGCAGATCGGCCCTCGGTCTCAGAAAATTCACCTGAGGATGTGGGGCGTGAGGTAGGCATCGGCGGCCGCGGTGTATCCCCGCGGCACCATCTTCACCATGGCCATGATGGAGGAGGAGAGCGAGACCTGTGTGAAGCCCAGCTCCAGCGCCAGCTCCCCCACCGCGCGCTCGTGGTCGGGGAAGATGGCCGAGTGCTTCAGCACCACGGCAAGGCTGGCGATGCCGGACTCCCTGACCTCCAGCAGGCGCGTGCGGAGGTCCTCCAGGTCGGGGGCCCGGCGCACGACCACCGCCTCGCCCGTGGTCGCGACAGCCGCTCTGCCCTCCAGGGGATGCCGCGCGGCGTCGCCCACGGGGTCCCTCCCCGCGCGGCTGGGGAGGGTGGGGGGAAAGGGGTGTTGTTTTTGTGCTAGAAGGGATGTAAACAGGGAAGAAGGAAGTGTCCCAGGAGGTGGCCGACGCTGGGCACGTCCTGAGGGGTCCAGAGGTAGCTGGAGCTTGTACAAGCAACAGCGCAGCCCTGGGGCAGTGCATGCACCGCTGGCACTCACATGCTGGGTGTGTCTCCCAGGGGCAGGACCACCTGCTCATCGCACTCCACCGCCGTCTCGTAGAGGACGTCTGGGGCCGAGATCTCCAGGTCGAAGATCTCGGGCCGGGACTGGTTTCCGATATGGAGCAGGTCTCGGAACCCGCGGGTGACCACCAGGGCTGTGCGCTCACCCTTGCGCTCCAGCAACGCATTGGTGGCCACCTGCAGGGTGTGTCGTGGCATCGGATGTGGCGATGTCAATGATGCAGCACTCCGGATCACGGCTGGTCGGGGCACCCTGCTCTGAGCCCCCACCCAGCCGGGCATTGGTGATCCGCGGACCCATACACACCGTCGTGCCCATGCGGATGGAGGTTATCCTGGAGGTATCCACGGGGCTGGACCTCGGGTGGGGAATGCCCGTCTCTGCCTCCAGGATGCGGCGAATGCCCTCCCTCGGGGCATCCGGATAGTTTGCTGGGTCCTCCGACAGCAGCTTCAACACGCGCTGGCCGGGGTTCCCCTCCGCATCCACAAACTCTGCAAACACATCGGTGAACGTCCCTCCCCGATCGATGCTGAAGCGAAAGTCCCGCGGACCAGTGCCCATGGTCTTTCGGAACGGTGGTGTTGGGGGGCGAGGTCCTTGCGATGGGCACAACGTAGGGACGCCCAGCGATTGGAAGAAGTATATCTGCAGGTTCTGGACTGGGTCTGGCCCAGTTCCTCGGCTTGGTGTCGGACGCGCGGGGGCCTGAGTCGGATGGGTATTCTGGGCGCGGAAGCTGTCCTGGTCGGAATCGCAGGAGATGACCGAACTCGAGACAATCCTTCAGAATCTGAGCGAAAGAGTACAAGCCATTGCACAGAATAACCGGCACAGGGACAGGAGTATGGTTTGGTTCAAACACGAGTCATGCCAGCGGCAGCCAGGCCTGGGGTGCAAGGGTCACTTCACCCGGCCGCCCCACCAGCCGTCAAGCAGGTTTCGGCAGGTGCGGGGCCCCGAAACCCTGCCTGCCGGCCCCTGCCGCGCCCCGCCGCGGCCTGCAGGTCCTCTGTGAACCCCAGCAGGTCCGCCAGGGCCCCCACTCCGGCATCACAGTCGCCGAGCTGCGCCACGTCGCGCCAGGCGGCCGGCCGCGGCGGGAACTCGAAGCCCTTGCGCCAGCCCACGGCGCGCAGCGCGGCATCGCCCTCGCCCACCAGCTCGCGGTTGATGAGCAGGCGCGGCACGCCCTCCCCCACGCGGTCGATGAGGGAGGCAAATGGCTGGACCACCAGGCTGGTGCCCATGACGATGAGCAGGTCGGCCGCCGCAAAGTCGTCGGCCAGCGAGGACCAGAACCGCGCCGGCAGGCCCTCCCCAAACATGACGATGTCGGGCTTCACGAGGCCCTTGCACCCCTGCGCATGTGTGTGTGTGTGCTTGGGTGTTCGTGGAAGGCCCCGTGGTTTGACGCATGGGGGCCCGGAGGGATGACCCCTGCAGCGGGTGCGCGCAGTGGAAGGAGGACAGATGCACACCAGGCCTTTGGTCGGCCCCAGCCGCTGCACTCCCCTTCCCCAGAGGCTGCGTCTACCCCCACCAATACCTCCTCGGGCTCCAACGATGCAAGCCTCCCCGTAACCCCCCTCCCCACGCCCACCTTGGAAGAGCAGCGAGGAATGGCCACGCTGCCGTCCGCCTGGCCAAACAGTGCCTCGCGGACGTAGGCGGGGTCGTAGGAGCGTCCGCACGCGACGCAGCTGGCGGAGTCAAAGTTGCCGTGGGCGGGGATGACCAGGTCCGGGGGCAGGCCGGCCGCCACCTCCAGCGAGTCGATGTTCTGGGTGTAGCAGCGCAGCAGGAGGCCCCGCTCCGCCAGCAGCTTGAGGAAGTGGTGGGTGGGGGTGGGGTGGAAGGTGCCCGGGTACAGCTCCTGCGTCGGGGTGCGTGGATGAGTGCATGTTGGCAGTGCATGGGCGTAGACCGGGAAGAGGGCAGCATGGCAGGGGTGGGAGGCCGCGTCAACCTGGACTGCGTCGCCCAGTCTCTGCTCAGGCAGCCCCCCACACCCTGGGCCTGCTGACATTGCACAGGAACACTGTGGCGCTCAAGGCTTGCATGTACACTCCCGCAAACCCAGGATTGCATCCTACACCCCCCCCTCCCTCCAACCCCCCAATCCCTACCCTGGCGAGGGTGTAGAACGGCATGGGGTTGCGCCTGAAGAAGTCGATCTCAAAGATGGCCTGGGGGTAGGGCAGGTCGTACTCTGCCAGGCGATGGTACAGCCCCGTCCCGGGTGTCCGAAAATCGGGGATGCCGGCAGATACGCTGATGCCGGCGCCACACATGCACACTATATTCCTGGCCCGGCCTGGAACATGCGCAGGGAGCGGGCGCGCATAAACGTGGGGAGCAGGCTATGGTGGAAGGTTTCAAGCAGGGTGCATGGGCGTGCGAGAACGAGGGGTTTCCAGGGCAACAGTCACGCGGCAACTGAGCTGCCGAAAACCGCACACCCTGCGAGGCCCGCACGGCATCACCCAGCCCTTCCCACACACCACCCAGCGCGGCGCACCACTGCTGATGTAGTGTGCGATGCCTTGGAGGTCCAGGCTGGTCAGGGGGGAGGCCCTGGGGGAGAGGGGAGCCTGGGGCTGGGCATCCAGTCGGAGGACCTCCTTGACCCGATTCAGCACCTCCGCAAACGCCTCGTCGGATTCGCTGCTGCTGCAGGATTCAGCCTCATCATCCGCTCCGCTTTCTCGTGCCTCGTGGCTGCTCCCAGCGCCGGCTTGCAGGTCAAGCCTTGGTGCCCCTTCCTGGTGTGAGTCGGGAGCGGGCGGGGTGGAGCTGCCGGAGCTCTCCGAAAGCGGGGGCTGGGCCTCCCCCTGCCGGCTGCTGGTTTGGCTGAGGGATTGGGAGGACTCGCGTGGCCTCATGGCGACATCTGTGGGCCTGGAGGAGACGACGGGTTGGGGGTGGGCTGGCCCCGCTGTATCCGGCTTGACCATCTTACCGTCGCTATGTGGCCCAATTGGATGTCGACTTGGCAAAGATGCCGTCGACCTGTGGACAAAAGTCCTGGTACGCTGCGTGTCACTGCGCCATCAGTTTGGGATATTTCATGGCGCCCGCGATGCCCCGGGACCCGGACTCGCAGATACCACTGGCAAATTTGAGTGGTATCGCACATAGAGTGAACATGGTCCCCCTTGCCGCCCATTAATATTCTGGACCACCCCAGGTCTGCTTGTCCAGAACAGATTGCCACATTGCAGTGTCGGAGCTTTGGTGGGATGACCGGTTGCACATGTGAGTCTCCATGTGACAAATGATGGGAGGAAGCACACTGTTGCAATACAGGTCAGTGCTACGATGGAGATGGTGGATCAAAAATCGAGGATATAGTGGTGCACATCCTCGGAGCGGCACGCCAAATATACACAGATGCGCCGGTGCCTCAGCAGAAGACTTAACACCTTCCCTTTCTCATCTGATGCAGGGAATGTCCCGCCACTTCCTAGCTCCACCTGTGGGGTGAATAGTGCATATGGGTGATCCACGGATGGCTGACGGCCATGGAAGCACTGATGCAGCCGGTCCCATCGCCGGCAGTTGCCTAGGAACTGCTGAGCAGTTTGGGTTAAGACTCCAGGGGAGGGAACAAAGTGGATTATGGCAGCACGTGGCCGACCCTCCGATGCTCCCCGGCTGTTGCCAGCCGCGGGCTATATTGGACAGGCAGGCGGGAAGCCGGCCCATGCACAGCCCGGAACCCTTTGCTCCATGCCCTGTTCTGCATGGTGTCCGAGGACCTTTCTATAGGACGACAATGTGTCACATCTCCGGGGCTGCCTGCTTCAGAGGGATGTGCTGCGCGGGGCCGCGGCTTCCGTACTCGCTTGGGTAAGGTGAAAAATTCCGACGTGTCATTCCAAATCTGGGCCGGCTTCATTACTTCGCGCACCTGGCACCATGTCATATACCCTTAGGCAATTATTTCTGCTACATACATTGTATTTCTTTTGACTTGGACTCGACCCCGCCCGAGGCTTCACCCGCAATGACTTCCACTGTGAACCCAACGTACGCCCCAGGTGTCGTGCATGACACCAAGAAGCATGACGACGCCCCCGAGTTCGCCATTCTGGCTCAGCGCATCGACGCGCTGACCACTGTCCTGGCTGCGTCTGCCCAGGGCCACTTCCAGCGTAACCTCGTCGCAGCGTGAGTTCCTGCCAGACCTCGGGCGCGGTGGATTGTCGCTAGCGACGCCCCCGACACCCTTTTTCCGTGCGGGATGTCCACCGCCGATGTTTGTGGCAGGGCTCTGACCCTGCAATCCCCTGCTGTGCCACCTCACCGCCTGGTCGGAAGCTGAAGGGGTTCCTCCTCGTATCGGATGCTGGCGGATCATTTCGACCCCGGATCGCCTGAGCCCCCATCGCCTCCTCCCCACTCCCACAGGGACATCGGCAACCCCGCCCCCCTGGGATTCTTCGCCTTCGCCATCACCCTGGGGCTGTACATGTGCGTCGAGGCCCGCATCGTCGAGCAGGCAGCCCTCTTCTACGTCCTCCCCTTGGCGTGAGTGGTGTTTTGGAGCGGTGGAGGGGATGAGAGGCACGGGCCCAGGTGGCGCCTCACCCTTTGCATTGCCTTAATTCACCCCCACTACTCCACCCAATTCACATCACAGTATCTTCCTGGGTGGACTGGCCATGTACGTGACTGCCATCCTGGAGCTGGTGCGCCGCAATGCCCTGGGCTACTCCGCCTTTGGCGCCTATGGCACCTTCTTCATCGCCGTGGGCGTGCACGGCATGTGCGAGGCTTCGGGCCTCTTCTTCCTCCCCGCCCCCAAGGGCCAGCAGGCCCTGACCGCCCTCTTCGGCATCGTCTCCCTCGTCTTCGCCGCCGTGTCCGTGGCCATCTGCCTCCTCCTCCCCATCGCCTTTGTCATGCTCGCCGTCCTCTTCTTCACCCTGTCTGCGGGCTTCGTCAACCCCACCGCCACCAAGGCCGCCGGTTGGTGGGGCCTGGTCACCGCCGCCGTCGCCATGTATGCCGGTGAGTCGCCCTTCAATGTGGTCCGCTGTATGTGTGGGGGCGTTGCTTCATGTTCATGTTCCTGTTTGCGGGATAGGCGCAAGTAGTGTCCTTTTGGGCTTAACTCCAATGCTGGGTTGCAAGCGTTGAAGGCCATGAGAAAAGGGGGTCATGCCCTTGTGCAGTGCCGCCCTCCCCCACACGCAATGCGTGCGACATCCCAGCCTGCATGCTGCACATCTGTCTCAAGCTCACGACCCTTCCAGCCATGCCATCAGCACAACACATGCACCGACGCCCCCCTCCTACCCCCCTCCCCCGCAGGCGCCGCCTTCCTATTCGAGGAGATCTGGGGCAAGGAGATCCTGCCCATCTTCTACACCAAGCCCTACAAGGTGCATGCCGCGCACCTCTTCCCCCGCATCTCCACCAGCGACCCGCGCTCCGTCACCGCCGGTGTGCCCTACCCTGGCCGCCCCGAGATCCACCGCGGCGACAACCAGGTGGCTGGACAGACCGCGCCCTCCCTGGTGGACCTCAACAGGGTCAAGAGCCCCCACAACGGCGCGGACCACGTTTGATAGGGTTCCTTCCCTTCCAGAACCCAAGAAAACTCCTGTTCGTCAGGTCGACTCCTAGTTTTTCGTATGACAGGTCCCTCAGACCATCGCCTGGCACAACACCCTGTCCCCATCCCATTTGCCAACCCAACAGCCCCACATTGTTGTGCCAGGGGCCGCTGCCCCTTCACAGGCGCTCCGTTTATGTTTCCGTGGAATTATTACGTGCCGTGGCTGCCTATGGAAACCCGTCTGCCCCTGCCCAACCTTGCTCACAAGGTGGGACGGGGGTGGATGACAACCAGGCCTTGCCCACCCAAACCGCCCAAGTGCTTACCGTATGAGATCTCACTCCCCTGTCTGTCACTTAGATGCTTCCATTAGATGACCTCATCGCATGAGTGGGAAGCAGGTTGTCTCCAAGCCTCCGCTTCGTCGTTTAAGTTTTGAACTCTGAGAAATGCAGCAGAGGGGTGCGGGATCCAGAACATGCTGTCGGTGGGCGTATTCACTGGCACTGCTCCGTTTGATTGGTCCCAAGCTGGGATAGTAACGGCCAAGCGCTTTCTTCTTGGCCTGGAGGCACCCTCCAGCGTGCATTAACGGTGGTGTGCCTCTCGCTCTTGATGTTGCACATTGCCAACGACACAGGAGGGGCGTTTGTCAGCACTCGGTGCACGCTTGTGTGGCATCGTGAGGTCCTGATGGGCAGGGCCACACTGGACATCTGCCAGGGATCCCACCCAAGAGGGCACTTCAAGTCCTGCTGGTGGACATGTATTGATCTCTTCACATTAAATTGCAACAGCAGGCCCGAGTAAGCCGGGCTGACCCCAGGCTGCCTCAACTATCTTGCACTTGAACTTGTCCAATGTATGCGTGTGGTGTCCCCTAAGAAGGCGCTGCAGGACATTTTTCATCCTGCAACCTTACAGCAGACAATCACTTTGGATTTGCAATCTACAAGGCCTTCAGATGCTACCCAACACCTCGCAAGCCCTAGATCTGACTCTCCGAAGTGCAATGCGGCAGTTACAGCAACGCCCCAGCGGATGTGGAGCATCAGAAAAGTGACCTGGCCGGGGGCAAGCAATCCATTGTATGAGCCTGCCATTCAGCACTGGTGGTCCTCGGAGGGCGTCTGCACTCCAGGAAGCAGGCCTAGCTAGCCTCGCTGCGGAGGAGGTAGAGCGGAGGTAAGGCTGAGCAAACATGTGAATACCAGCAGCAAATGAATAGCGACCAAACCTCAGCAGTGGTTATGACTTGCTAGCGGCAGCAGCTCCACGACGCCTGCCAGCCAGAGACATTCAGGGAATTAAGTGGAAACCGTGCCTGCCCCACCACGCCTTCCCTGCCCTTCACCCCTTCTCCCTCACCGCCAGCTCACCATCTGTTGCTGCAGCGCCAGCACCTGCGCCTTCTGGTCCGGTGGCAGCTGGTCTAGCTGCGCCGGGGTCAGGGACAGCACTTGCTCCAGCAGTACTGTGTGGGAGGAAGGGATGAGGATTTGGATTGCCGAGATGGTGATAGGGAGGATGAGCCAGCGTGAAAGCGATGCTTGACAAGGCGCTCAGAGCAGTGTGTGTCAAGCTGGGGCGCCACATTCAAACGTATGCTGAACATCTACCCGCCTGTGGACCCCCTCATCCCTCCCTTCTATGACCTTGCTGCTGGTCTGGCGTCATGCCCGCCGCGGCAGACAGCCCGGCGGCGGGGCCGGCGTTGTGCGATGGCGCGCCGCCGTACCCCTGCTGCGGCTCCGTCATGCCCGGCGCAAAACCCGCCCTCTGGCGCGGGTCGGCCGGCGTGGCCGCCGCCGCGTCGGCGTGGGGCGGGTACTGCCCCGCACCAGCGTGGTACCCGTTGCCGCCGCCGTAAGCCGCACCTGCGCCGTGCGCCGGCGCCAGGCCCACCGGGGCCATGGGCGCGTAGGCGCCCTCGTGCCCGTCGCCATACGAAGTCGGCGCGGCACCATACCCTGCCGACTGTGCGCCATAGCCTGTCGACTGTGCGCCGTAGCCTGTCGACTGCGCGCCGTAGCCTGCCGACTGCGCGCCGTAGCCTGCCGACTGCGCGCCGTAGCCTGTCGACTGCGCGCCGTAGCCTGTCGACTGCGCGCCGTAGCCTGTGGCAGGCGGCGCCAGGCCCGCCGGGACGGTGCCCTGCGCGTACCCGCCGGAGGGTGCCGCGTAGCCGCCGCCGGTACCGCCCTGGTACTGCACGGCCGGCGTGGGGTCGGCGTGGCGGTACTGCGCCGGCGGCGCATCGTGCGCGGCGCCGGCGAACCCACGCCCCGGCATCGTCCCCGGCGGCGCGATGCCCTTGGGCGCCACGTCGCCGCGCGGGTTGCTCACGTACCCCAGGATGACCTGGCTCTGGAACAGGGCCTTGGCCAGCGCAGGGTTGGAGGCCAGCAGGTCACGCGCAGCCGCGCGGTCCGCCCCCGCCAGCTCCTGCACCGCGGCCAGCAGTGCGTAGAGCTCGGAGCGCGAGCGCCTCGCCAGCAGCTTGGTCAGCGCATCTGCGGTCTGGCCGGGCGTGCCGGAGCCGCCCAGCAGCTGCGCCGCGCCCAGCGCGGAGTGGTAGGCCAGGTCGCCGCCCACCACGCGGCTGGCGTTGGGCGCGCGGGAAGCTCCCGGGAAGCCGCCCCCGGGCGGGCCGCCCGCCGCGGATGGGGGGGCGGCGCCCCCAAACCCGGCTGGGCCTATTTGTTGGGTAGAGGAGAGGGTGCACATACATGTTGTGTGTGTGTGTTTCTGGGATAGAATGCAGGCGCCATGGCAGGCCTGGGATTCAAACCTCAGCCGGAAGCACACAACCGTGTGGAGGCAGGCATGATCTGCACCAATACAGTGTGATTTCTGCCACAGTCCCCCCCTTTCCTCCCTCCCTCTCCCACCCAGCCACACCCGCCGCACCTCCGCGAGAGGGGAAGCCCCCACCCCTGGCCTCGAAGGGTCCACCCTCCGCAAAAACGATGCGGATGACCCGGCCATTGAACTCCTTGCCACTCAAGTTGCGAATGGCGCTCTCAGCGGTGGGAATGTCATGGAACTCCACGAACCCAAACCCGCGTGGCCTGCCAGTCTCCCGGTCGTTCACGATCCTGCATGGCCATTGGGCTCTTGCCTTCAGCACGTGGCACAGGGGCAGCCAACCCTGTAACAGAATCCTCAATGCAGCCTGGGAGTCCTGACAAGTCACCTTACGCTCTTGACGGGTCCACACTTGCCAAAGTAGTTTATGATGTCCTGGTCAGTCAGGTCGTAGGACAGGTTGCCGACTGCATGGGTGGGAAGGAGACCCTGTCAGTAATTGGTCTACACCTTTGCTCCTGCCGAAAGATAGTAGTGTACGTACCAAACACTGCGGGCGCGGGCTCGCCAGCTCCCTGCAGGGCAGCCATCGGAGGGGTGCCGCCGAAACTCCAAAGCCCCGCTCCTTATTCCTCCCTCCTAACTGTATGTATCTGGAATGGAGCTGGAATCCCAGACAGCGTGCACGATCCCACTTTTGTCAATGGAGCTGAAGGACCGCGCCATCTTGCAGACCCCAAACGATCCCCACCTAGGGCGCGAAGGATTCTACGCAGAGGACTGGTATGGTCCAGCCATTACCACGCAATGCGGTGACAGCGTCAACTACATTCCTCATACATCCTTTACTTCAATCTTGACATAGATCCGCTTAAGATATTCAAAAGCGCTGTCGGACGCTTCCGCAGTGCCTCAGGATGCCGGCTGCCAGCGAAGTGACGTCGCTCTACAGAGCCATTCTCAGGGCAGGTGGGTGACGGTGGCCGGCTTCTCACATGTCACGTACTCGCCGATATCTCGAACCACGCCAGCAGGCTCTCCGATCGGCCCCTCATGTCATACCTTTGCGCTCTCCTTCTCCATGTGCAGGTTCAGGGATTCCTAACTACAATATTAGAGAGTGCGTGTGAGGATGGATAGCGCGGCCTGATTTCCCAGTCGTGAAGAATGTGTGTTTTGGAGTCAACCCATGCACTCCTGATTGGCGCGTGATGTCTCCCCTGCAGATACGTGAAGCGGCGAGCTGGCGAGAAGTTCAGGGAGCTTCCGAAGGGAGGGAGTGCTGAGGCAGTGGAGGCTGCCTTCCGGCGAGGCTGCGAAGAACTGGAAGTTGTAAAGCGCCAGGCTGTGGTCTACAAGCTGTACGCCCGGAAGCAGAAGAGTGTCATGGTGCGGGGGGTGGGGTGGGGAGGGGTGGGGAGGGGTGTGAGGGTGGGGGCATGCAATGAGGGGCTCGTGTTGCACGAGGCCGTTGTTTGGAGTGCACATGGACAGCGTTATTCTCGGCGCAGGAGATGGTCATGATCCATCAACCCTTTCGTTGCAGGAGCTCCCTCCCGAGGGTCTGGAGTTGAAACCTGCCTTGTGATGCACCTAGTTGGTTGACAAGGGCGTGGAGGCAGCACCCATGCTCGGTGCAGCTCTTGTGCAGCCTGTTTGACAATTCTTTGTGGCTTCCCTTTGTATAATATGTGCTAGCGTGAGCAGGGTGGTAATCCAGCAGTCTCAGTTTCGTTTTCAGTATCAGTAGGGGGAAGCAGGGAGGCAGGATTCTTTGGAGGATGGGAAGAAGTGGCACTGCAATCCCTACGCAGAGTCAGCTGTGTGGTTCAATGGCTGGAGGCCCATCCGGTACAGCAATGTTCAACTGGCCAGGCCCTCCATCCGTGCACTCACCCCCCATGCCGGCCAGCCCCGCCTCGGCCACGCCCGCCACCTCATCCACCGCCGCCTCGACCTGCGCGTCGCAGAGCCCCAGCGCCCGCCACCACCCAGTGCTCCAGTGGCCCTGGCTCGCACGGTGGGCCCCCGTCCCGCCGACGCGGCGCAATCAAGACAGATGCAACATGCAGCGCGGCCGACGCCAGCGGGCCCGGGCGGTGGCGCGCAGCGCACGCACACCCCGCCAGCGCGTCGCCCAGCAGGCACAGCGCGGCGGCCAGGAGTGGGCGGGGGGCTCGCCGCGCGCCGGCGAGCGCGAGGAGGTGCGGGTGGGGGTGGTGCACCCGAAGGTCGAAGCGCAGCGTGCGCAGCGCGCGCTGCTCGTCCAGGACGAGGAGCGCCTTGGCCGCGTAGTAGGTGCCGCCCACCAGGGCCGGAGGCGGGGTGGCGAGGGGGTCGGGAGGGGGGCGCTGGTACGCGGAGGGCGAGGCGCACAGCAGGCTGGCCACGTTGAGCAGGTCGTTGGTCACGAGGCATGTCTGGCAGCAGGGAGTGGGAGGGGGGTGGGGTGGCTCGTCTGGGCGAGGGAGCTGAGCTGTTGGAGGAGAGCAAAGTGACCCAGCAGATGCGTGGAGCGAGGCCCATGCTGAGTCAGAATCGAGTGAGCCCCGATGCATCTAGTGATAGATTCACATCGACGCACCTCCTCAACCTTGGCAGCCAGGAAGACCACGGTCGGCAGGATGCGCTGGGGAAGGCATGGAAGTACGAGGGGGTGGTGGTGGTTAATGTGTAGCTGGCTGGCACATGATCCTGAGGAAGGTCAGGGCATGAGAGCACTACGCACCCTGCCAGCCTGCTGGGAGATGTGATCACAGGCCTCAGCCCTCCCCTCCTCCATCTGCATGCTTACCTCCTGGGTCCATGCAGCGCCTTCCCCAGCACCCTCCTCCTCTGTCGCCAGCTGCAGCCTCCAGTACAGATAGAGGGCGGTGACGACGGTGCGATGAGGCAGGCTCAGCACGTCCCCCACCGCCCGGATGAGCTGCCCTGTGGTCGCGGCTGGCGTGCCCGGGCCATGCCGCATTCGGCTGGGTCACCACCCCAGCCCCGCCATGCGGGCAGGCAGACAAGGCTGTGCAGTGTCCAGATGAATCTGGTCTGGAAACGTTGCTTCGAAGAATGATAGCACTGGCATGATTGCTGGCACCAGGTCCTTCCTCACCAATCAGATTGCTGATCGACTTCGTCGCGCCCTCGACGACATCCAACGGCCTCGCACCCACCTTGCAGCCAGGTTCTGCATTCGAAGTTGTATATAAAATCCCATGACTGCTGATTACACAAGCTCTACATGCTCTCCGCTCTATATGTCATCTAGTGTACCAAGGATCTGCTGCAATGAGCACAAAGTTGAGGAACTCACGCCGCCGCCACCCTAGCATCTGCACGCCCAGAGGTTCGCGCCGCCTGCTCGGCAGCCTGGAGGCCTTCCGCCCCACCCCTGTGCTTGTGCTTTTTCTGCGGCTGGGTGAGCCACAGCTCGTCGAACACCGTGCCGCCTGCGCGTCGAGCGGGGATCGAGTCAATACGCAGGCATGCATGGATGTGTGCCTTAAATGCTTCATCATTCGCAGCCGGAGCGCCCATCAGCATCAACACCCCAGGTTGAACCCCCCACCAAACCACCACACACACACACACACACACCTGCGCTCTCCAGGGCCTGCATGTGCAGGTGGGTGCCGTTCATGTGCAGGCGAATGTGGCCGTGCACCTCCATATTCTCATAGTCAATCCACGTGGGGGTCTCGTCGAAGCCATTGGGCGTCAGGTCTGAGAGATATTGCGGGGGGTGGAGAGAGGGCTCACTGAGGCTGAGGACCCTGGTCTTCGATGGGGGAAAGGTGTCTGCGGATCACGCCGTATGGTTTGGGGCCAAGCGGGTGCGGGAATGTTGTTTTGCCAAATTGGTAGGGGACTGGATCCACGAAACAGTGAGCAGCCCCTGTGCCAACCCCGGCCCAGGAACCCAGCCCAGGTGGCCAAAGGGCATCACCAGCTATCCTGAAATCCCTCACCTGCCCCGCCATGCCCAAAGCAGACGTGCACCGTGCCGTGGTGCGAGCGGTGGTGGCCGTGCGAGTGCTTCCTGCGCGGGTGCGCATTGGAGGAGGGGCGCATGTGATTGGAGGTCGCCACAGGGAGGCATGGCAGGGGCGTGTCGCACAGCTCAAGTCTCCCACAGCCCTTCCCCTTTCACCCTTGGGCACCAAACACCCCCCCTCCTCCAGGATCGCCCCCCCCCCCTCAAATTGCTCACATGCAGCGCCCCTTATGCACTGCGCAGGTGCGCTGGTAGCTGTGGTGGTGCCCGGCCAGGACCAGGTCCACGGCATGCTCGCGCAAAAGGTACTCCAGCGCGGTCTGCAGCTGGATGGCGGTGGTCTGCTTGCCCGTGGGCCAGTAGAAGTCGTTGGCATCGATGTACAGCGGTCGGTGGCCCATGAGGATGAGCCAGGGCGTGCGCTCGCGGTCGACGGCGGCCAAATCCCCCGCCAGCCAGAGGTGCTGGGGCGACCCCGCAGTGTAGTCGTGCTCGCTGCTCATGACCGCAAAGTGGGCGGGGCCGAAGTCGAAGGAGTAGAAGGCCTGGTCGGGGGCCAGGTTGGGGCGGGGCATGGGGAAGCGCTTGTAGTAGGGCACGCCGCACTCGCCCCCCGAATCGTCGGAGGTGCGGTAGAAGGCCTGGCCCGGCCAGTCGCGCTCGTGGTTGGCGATGGAGGTGGCCGCGGGCATGGCCTCCAGCACCGCGCGCTGCTGGAACAAAAAGGTGTCCCACAGCGCGCCGTACCCGCGCGCGTAGGAGATGTCGCCGTTGTGCAGGACCATGCGGTACGGCTGGCGCCGCGGCGCGCGGCCGTCCGCGTCCCCGCCACCCTCGGCGCCGAACCCGGCGTGGCCGGCGCGCGCGTCGGCCAGCATGCGCGCCGCCACGGCCAGCGCGGGCTGGTACTCCATGGCCGCCAGCGCGCCGTCGGGCTCGCCCACGCCCTGGTCGGCCACGCCCAGGACCGACACCGAGAGGTGCGGCCCCACGCCCGGGTGGGACAGGAAGGAGCGGGGGGCGGAGGTGCGCTCGTGGGGCGCGCCCTGCGCGTCGCCCACCACGTAGTAGTAGCGCGTGTCGGGGGTGAGCCCCGCCATGACCGCGGTGTGCAGCGCGCCGGGGTCCACCCACCCCGCGCCCGAGGCGGGGATGCCGCACATCTCGCGGCGCGAGTAGGTCTCGGTGGTGGCGGGGATGGCGAAACGCAGGTCGTCGGGCGCGGTGCCGAAGCGGACAAAGGGCTCGCCCACGTCGCGTGTGGTCCACTGCACCAGCATGTCCACGGGGCGGTGCCCGGGCATGAGGTGGATGCCCGTCAGCTCGTTGGGGTTGGCGTTGGGCAGGACAGGTCCCTCGCCGACCAGCTTGGGGGTGCCGCCGTCGCCGCCGCGGACCAGCACGAAGCGCATGTCCACCCGTAGGTTGATCAGGCGCAAGCTTTGGGCGGGAAGGGAAGGGTTACAGGGCTGGGGGTTTGAAGGAATGGGATGGGGGCGCAGGGACTCGAGGGAAAGTGAATGGGGGCAGCTTCGATGAGAGGGATGAAAATCACCTCGGCGCCAAGGGGTGAGACACCAATCGTGGGGGCATTCATGGTTTCCCTGTGGTCTCCGCCCACCCTCACATCCCATCCCAACCCCGACAGCCTGCGCAGCAAACTACCTGAGGGTGGCGTGCCCATGCTTGAGGTACCGCGCGTCCGCCCTGACGTACTCGTACTTGACAGGCGCTGCGCCGTGCAGGTGGGCATCCGCAGGCGCGTACAGGGCCAGGATGTCGTCCCTGTGCGGGCGAGCCACGCCCTGCACGCTGACCTCCACCCAGTCGCCGCTGTGCTGGAGGGAGGTGGCGTTGTAATGGATGCTCACGTCGTGCTCTTTCTCCAGGGGCAGCAGGCCCGAGGGAAACTTCTCTAGGTAGTTGTGATACTGCATGTCGCCGGCGACAAATGCCAGGATCGCGAGGAGGACCGCCGTGGCGAGGGTCATAGGGCTCAGTCCCGCGCGGTGAGGCCGCTGTGCCATTGGGGCTGGCAGCGTAGGCGACGTGCACGGGTGGTCACGTCTGCAACATTCGAGCTCCACGTTGATGTTGTAACGAGGAGATTTTCGTGTGATCGTGACCTACCGCTCAGAATGGGGCTTCATGGGATAATAGATGCCCCGCATCATCTGTGTGAAGCAGGGAATCCTCGACAGTCGCGGGGCCTCAGCACCCTCAGCAGGAAGTGATCCAGTTTGCGAGCCAGAAGCCAATGGCAGCTCGCGGTGGCAAGCGGGCCGGCGATGGATGGAGGCGTGGAAACCTTCATCGGTCCCACCCCTCTGACATCCAGCATCGAGGGAGCGTGCCTGCCCCTGCGGCGTTTAAATCGACCGAGCATGTCCCCTCCAGAGTGAAGGGCCGCTGGCCCCCAGCCCCTCCCTGGTCCATGCACCTCTTCCTGCGATGCCTGGTCTTTCGCCTGGTCCAGGCCCTCCTCCTGCGAACCTACTTTGCCCCCGATGAGCACTGGCAGAGCACGGAGGTGGCTCACCACCTCGTTTTCGGGTGCGGTGGGTTGGCCGGATCTTGCAAGGTCCAGATCCGGGACCCTCTCACCTCCGCCCACCGTGCTCGGCCTCACGCCAGTGCACCCCAGGCGCTCTCGCTTCCCAGCCATCAACCCTCTGCCCCTTTCCCTTCCCGCACAGGGATGGGCACCTGACGTGGGAGTGGGCGGTGGGCCTGCGCCCCTACCTGCACCCCGCCCTCTTCGCCGCGCCCTACTGGCTGCTGGCGGCGGCGCGCCTGGACGCGGCCTGGGCGGTGGTGCTTTCTTCCCACCTGGTCCAGGCTGCGATCGCCGCCCTGGCGGATGTATCGGTGCATGCCCTGGCCGCCGAGCTGGCGCCCGAGGATGCGTCGACCCCAAGGTGGGCCCTCGCCTGCCAGCTCGCCTCCTGGTTCAACGGCTACGCCCTGGTGCGCACGTACAGCAACTCCGCGGAGGCCGCGCTGTGCGTGCTGGGTGTCCTGAACTGGACCAAGGCAGCCGCGGTCCCCAGCGCCGCCGCTCAGTGGCGCTGGCTCTGCGCCGCGGCGGCCGCCTTTGCCCTGCGGCCCCACAGCGCCCTCTTCTGGCTGGTCCCCGGGTCGTGGCGCCTGGCCCGCCTCCCGCCCTGGCAGCGGCCCCGCCTGGCGGCAATGGCCGCTGCGCTGGGGGCCGCCACCCTGGCCCTGGGCATGCTGGTCGACCGCGCCGGATACGGCAGGTGGGTGGGGCTTCGAGGGTGGGGAGTGCGGGGTGCAGGGGAGGGCCGCTCACTGCCTTGGAATCGAACGCCTTGCCAAGGTCATGGTCCATGTCGCTGCATTGTCCTGAGACGATATACTCTACCCGCACAGCGCCATCCTGCCGGCGCTGCCTCCCATAGCCCGGCACCCCCGCCCCTCCCACTCCGCCCCGCTGGTCCAGGTGGGTGTGCACCCCCTGGAGCTTCTTCAAGTTCAACCTGCTGGAGGGGGGCAGCGCGCAGTACGGCAGCCACCCCTGGTCCTGGAATGTGACCCAGGGTTTCCCGGCAGTGCTGGCGTCCTACGTCGGCCTCGCGGCCATCGCCCTCAGGGGCCAGCTGAAGCGGGGGGGCAGGTGCGCAGGAGGATGGATAGATCTGGAAGGGGTCCGCGGGTGCTGAGCAGGATCTTGCATCTGATATCTCCGGGTCGAGATCGGCGTAAGAAAGGGCAGCAGCTGTGTGCCTCACCACCTCCCTCCTTCCCTTTGGACATTCCCAAAACATACAAAGGCCACCCAAATTCCCTGACTTGTCAACCCCCGATCCCCAACCCCTGGGTCACGCAGGCTGGTCCCCCTCCTGGCTTTCGTCGGCTGGTCGGTGGCAGTGCAGAGCATCTCGGCGCACAAGGAGTTCCGCTTCCTCCTCCCCGCCCTCCAGCTCAGCATGCCCCTGGTGGGCTTGGGGGCCGCCCGCTTGTGGGGCCGCCCGCATGTTGCGCTGCGGGCCGCCCTGGCAGCCGCCCTGCTGACGCAGGTCCTGCTCTGGGCCTTCTTCGGGCTGGTGCAGCACAGGTGAAGGGTGCCGGTGAACAGGGCGCCCTGGCGGGGTGGTTGTCGAGGTCCGACGGGTGACGGCCAGGTAGCCCCGCCATTCCTGAGGATCGGTGCTTGTTGGCAATCTCGCGCGGTCTGCTCCGCCAGGCTGCCGTATTTCCTCCAACATCTCCCCCGTCCCCGCTGGCCCGTGACTCGTCACTCACACTCCCCCATGCACCCACACCCCCAGGGCCCAGATCGGCGTCATGCCACTGCTGCGCGGGGCGGCGCTGGCGCGCACGGACCCCGGCGCGGCCCCCTTGACCGCCCTGTTCCTCACCCCGTGCCACGCCACGCCCTACTGGGCCAGGATGCACGGCGTGGCGGCTCGCATGCGCTTCCTGGACTGCTCCCCCGCGCGGTACCGCGGAGAGGTGGCCGCCCTGAACGCCGCCGCCCAGGCCTGGCTGCCCTTCCCCGACGGGCTCTGCCTGCCAGGCCAAAGCGAGCTGGAGTGCCTGCATCGGCGGCCCGTGGACGTGGCGAGGGGCCTGGTGGAGGCAGGGGCCCCCAGCCACGTGGTCCTCTTTGCGCCGCTGGGCACCGTGGTGGGGGCGACGCTGGCGGAGGGCGGGTACGCGCTCTGGCGCAGCCTGCCCAACTGCTGGGTCCAGGTGGACGAGGACTACCCCTGCACCCTCCAGGTGTGGGCCAGGACCTGAGTCGGCCTCCAAATTACGCTTGGCATGCCCTGCTGTGCATGTCCTGCAAGCAGCAAGCGGTGCCCATCTCCCGACACGATTAGCTGTGAGCCAGATTCCTGGGACAGACCGACGCATGGTCCGCGGGGAGGGAGTCACGTTTTGGGGGCCATGCGATGAAGGCCGGCCGCATGCACCAGCATCGCTGCGATCGCAAGCAAAGATCCAGTTCCCGATCGAGAACTCCAGCGGACCGCAGCGACGCAGCTGGTTGCGATGAAGATCAGATACTAGCCTCTTGGGAGGCAAGGCTCCGGGGTCAATTGAATCCGACACTCCGAAGGTGCCCCTCCCTACGTGGACGGCACGCCGAGAAGGGGCCCCTCAATCTTCCTTCACTGTACCGCGGCCTGCACCGAGCTTGTTGTGGACCATGAATTATCATAGATAGTATTCGGAACGCATGCCTGGAGATTAATATACCGGGTGTCAGTGGTGTCTCTCGGGCTCCTTAGGGGTGTACCAGTTAACCGTGAGCGCCCGAACCCCAACCCCAAGACCGGGGGCGTGCTGAAGGTGTGCGGCGCCGGAGCACATCTAGGAGACGTCTGTATCCCATCATGACGACCGCCGTGTACCACCAAAGAGGCCTGCATGCCTCGACGCACCATGCACCAGACGCGGCCGACCTCGTGGAGCTCCTCGACAGTAAATGGTGCGCGCCGGGTCCGTCAGGGGCTGACCCCCTCCCTGCCCAGTCCATGGCCCCAGTGAAGTGTACAGCTGGGTAGATCCCGCATCGACTCCGCCCCTGCACCCCCTGCCTCCCAGGTTCGGAGACGCGAGCTCCTCCTCGTCTCGCCGCATCAGTAGGGGCGGGCGCCGGGACGCCAAGTCATACCTCAGCCTGGTGGGCAGTGGCCCCAGCGACCTCAGCAGCAGCGGGAGCAAGGCGGAGATGGAGGCCCGGGACTGGGCCCCCCTCCTGGCAGACGTCCCCGAGCGCGTGCGCGACAGGACGGTCTCCCGCTCCGCCAACACGAGCGTGATGGGGCCCGACCTCTCCACCCTACACCACCCCCACGGCGGCGTGGCGGCGGGCCCGCGGCAGACCTCCCCGCCTGAGGCGGTGGACACGGAGATGCGGCGCGAGCCCTCCCCCTTCGAGGCGGACTCCGACTCGCCCGGCGGCCGCCTGGGCACCTGGGCCGGCCGTCAGCGCGTCTTTGCCGAGTTCCTGCGCGGCGAGGAGGCGGAGGAGGCCGGCCGCGCGGCGGCCCGGGCCGCCGCCGCGGCGGCGGACGGCAGCGATGACGAGGAGGAGGGCGAGGGCGGCGAGCGGGTCAGCCCGCGCACCTCGGCCTCCCCCCCCGAGGTGCAGGGCGTGCGCCCCCGCCACATCTTTGGCCCCGCCCTGCTCGGCGGCGAGGAGCGCGCCGCCAGCTCTGGGCCCGTGGTCCTGGGGGCCATGCGCGCCCCGGCGTCAAACGCCGGCGGCCGCGGAGCCGACAGCGCCGCCGCCGCGCAGCGCTCAGCGGAGGACGAGGACGTCAACATGGCCTGGCGCTGGAGGTTCACGCGCAAGTGGCAGGTGTGTGTGTGGTGTGTACTGGGGGTGGGAGGCAAGCATGAGCATCAGCGGGAGGGTGAGGAGGATGGCCTGGCGCCGGGCGGTGGGCATCAGTGCCCTCTGGCACACCCGGTCGGAAGGAGTGGGTGGAGCCCGCGGCCACTGCTCACCCGACGCCCTGCTCAGCCACCTCCCCCCGCCCCACCCCGCCACCCATCAGATGGAGCAGGCCAAGCAGTTTGACCCGGCCTACGGCCAGGACGGGGAGGACGAGGACGACTGGGGCGCGGCGCTGGGCTACATGGCCGTGCATGGCGGGGGCCTGGACCTTGCCACGCCTGCCTCGGTGGGCGAGGCCCACGGCGGGGGCCTGGCCGGCCCCTCGGGGGACGTCGGCGCGGGCGCCGGCATCGAGGCCTCCCCCTCCTTCAGCCAGCCCATGCTGCTGGACGCCGGCGGGTCGGCCAACCTGGGCGACGCGTCGCTGGCGCGGGAGGCCGACGCCGCGCCCGCCACGCGGCGCCTGGCGGCGGTGGCCAGCAAGGCGCGGCACCTGGCCGCGCGCCAGGCCGAGATCGAGCACGCGGTGACCGCGCGGTGGGAGAGCGCGTCGGCGGGCCAGGCCTGGGTGGGCGCGCAGGTGGACGGCGTGGCGCTGGACCACTGGGGCCGCTTCGCCTTTGTGCTGGCCCGCCTCAGCGACGCGGCGGAGCACCGCAAGCTGGTGGTGCGCGGGCGGAACGGCGTGGGCGAGGCCGGGCTGGCCGCCGCGCTGGCGCACGAGGCGGCGGGCGCCGCGGCGCGGCACCGCCTGGCGCCCGCGCGCGTCGCCGTGCTGGCCTCGGGCACCGCCGAGTGGAGCGCGGCGCGCGACCGTGTGCTCGTCGTGCGCGCCACCGCGCTGGGCGCCGCCAAGGACCCGCTGGTGCGCTGCGCGGCCGACGCCGACCGCATCGTCGCTGCGCTGGTCGCCGCAGCGCTGCCGGCTGGCTACTCCGTGCTCCCCGCCCCCGCTGCCGCCGGCGGCGTGGCATGATTGCGCAGGAGGGGGGGGGGGTTCCTCGGGGGCGGGTGGAAGCGTGGCGCAACCTGGCGCCCTTTGCGCCGCGGCACGGCCTGGCACCCTTTGCGCCGCGGCACGGCCTGGCGCCCTGTGCGCCGCGGCACGCCCGCCCCCTCTGCCCCACGCCCCGACTGCCGCAGGCCGCAGCAGCAGGCACCCCACCCCCCCACGACCAACCAGTCGTCTATATATCTACAACTGATTCCATTCCCTTTCCACCTGGGCGACGCACGCCCCCAGGCTCGCTTGCCTCCCCATGGCAGTCCTCCTGCCCCTCTGAAGGGGCCACATGCACGTCCCCCCTGTTTCCGCTCCAGTGCCCGCGCGCCCCCTTGACGGGGCACCCCTCCCCCAGCCCTGCTTTGATGACCCCCCGCCTGGGCGCGGCCAGGGGGCCCCACCTTTGCGGATTTGAGCACTGAGCCTCGCCCCCTCTCTCCACAAACTGACCTTACGCCCTTCGTCGTAGCCTTGCGCCAGACTCTTGCCTCGGAACTGTCGCGCGCTGCGATCCATCCTGGGACTCGGCGGCCGTCTTCATGCGTCCTTTTGCACAGGCGCGGGCGGCCCCCGGCCCAAACATTGTTTGCTTCTTGAACAGGCGTGGGTCCCTGCCTGGCTCGGCGCCCTCCCCCGCTGCCCCTGCGCAGCGCCCTCGTCCCTTGCACCTCCCGCTGCGTTTGCATCGTTGTCGTTCTGTCCCTATTGGTGGTCGTCTCGGGTGTAATCGGGATGACAGACACAGACAGATGGTCATAAAAGTGTGGGTGGGGAACGTGAGCAAGCAGGTGCGCAAAGGCAGGAAGCAGGCGGGCGCCCGCGCGGTGGACTGGCCGTCCCCAGCACCAGGTCAGATGCGCAGGATGTCGCAGCGCAACGCGTCGCAGGCACGCTCGCCGGGCGCGGCGCAGAGGTGGGCAAAGGTGCCGGCCCCCGCGCCCTTGGCGGCGCGGCCGGGGTTGATGCACAGGGTGGCCCCGCCCGGCGCTGGCCGCGCGAAGGGGGCCAGGTCAGAGGGCAGGACCAGGACCGCAGGGGCTTGGTCAGGCAGGGCCAGCGCCGCCCGCGCCCGCCGCGTGTCCAGCGGCAGCCCCGGGGGCGGGGGGAAGAGGGGGAAGTAGCTCCGCTGCTCGAGGACGTGCGTCGCGAGCTGGGCCAGGCGGTCAGGGGCGGGGGCACCGGAGTCAAGCCGCACCAGCTCCTCCCGCCCCACCGCCATCAGCCAGTCCACGGAGGTGCAGCCCAGGGCGAGGCCCGCGTCCTCCAACATGATTGTCGTGGGGTTGGGCAGCGGGGTGAGAGCAGGAGTGGCGGGGGCGGCCAGACGCGGAGCGGGGGCGGGGAAGACGGGCGGGAGGTGGAGGTCGCGTGGGGAGGGGAGCAGCAGCACGCGCGTGCCGGGGCAGGCCCCCGAGAAGGCCTCGACAGTTGCCAGGAACTGTCCGAGGGTGGGGGCGGGTGATGTTGCCGGAATGACAGGGCGGGTGTTTGATGTGGTGGGGTAGGCAGAAGGGCAGATGTTCAAGTTTAGCGGCACGCTGCCAGGAGCCCGGTTCATCTTGCCCCTCTGCACCGTTGTGGTGTGTCACAGACCGCAACCCCCCCACCCCCCCCCCCGGGTTGCCCACCCCCTAACTGAGGTCAACCCATGCTCATGGAGCATGAATTGCCACGCACCCTGGTCTGGAAAATGGACTGGAAGGTCTCGTCTACCAGCCCGCCCGCCAGCAGCGGGTGTGCCTCGTCCACCCACGGCCCCGCCAGCAGCAGGTGGGCTGGGCGCAGGCGCCGGCAGTGCTCCAGCAGGGCGTGCAGGGGCGCATACTCCAGATTCTCAGGGCAGCAGTAGGGGCCCGCAGCGAGGACGATAGAGGTGGGCGCGGCTGGGTGGGAGGAGCCGGTCTTGGCGTCCGGCTCGCGGGGGCCACACAGCTCTGCCGCTATGATGCAGTGCCCGGAGGGGTTGGTACCACGCAGGCTCACCACCTGACCCGGGAAGAGGCGGAAGGCGGGGAGGCGGGAGACATCCAGCCGGACGCGCGCGCCGCCGGACAGGGCCTGGGACCCCTCCAGCAGCAGGGACTGGGGGTTGAGCCGGCCCTCCTCTACCAGTAGCAGGTTGGTAGGGGTGAGTGGGTGACTTGAGTGCGGGGCCACAAGGATGGATTCGGGCGAGGTGGAGGGCCTGCCGGCAGATTCGGGCCTGTAATGACTCCTGGCATGAGCAGTCCTCATACCACAAGGGCGCCGGCCCTGACTCGAGGACATCGCGCACTGTACTTCTTACGAGCAACCTCCACGCTCATCACGCCGGGTCCCCCTTGCTCCACCTCATGGACACCCGCCGACCTGTGTCGCAGCAGATGCGGCCCACGAAGAGGGTGGCGTCCTGGCACGCTGAGCCCACCGGGTGGGCCTCGGCGCCGTCTTGTCCCGCGGCCTCCACCTCCACCGCCCTGATGCGCTGCTCCAGCAACGCCGCCCGGTCTTCGAGCGAGTCGGTCCCGAAGCGGGCCTCGCTGGGCAGGGGCGTGCCCAGGATGCGAATCGCCGCCAGCGTGGCCCCGGCGGCACAGGTGGCCAGCCCGGGGTTGTGGCTGCTGACCAGCTGCGCGCTGGCTTCCGTGGGACGCAGCGGGGTCGAGGATGTGCCAGACTCCCTGGCCAGGGAGGGCAGAGGGCTGTGCACCGCGGCGCGAGCCTGCGCCGAGGCCGCCGTTTTCGTGTGGAGGTAGGGGCTGATCCTCTGGCTGGGGGTGGTGGCGCTCCGCTGCCTGTAGGCGATGCAGGGATATGGGGGGAGTTGCAATCTGGAAGGCACAAGATGAGTGATCCATGCTCAGCAGCACTTACGGCTGTGAACCATGGGCGATTCCATCCCATACCAAACCCACGCCCTCGGGCCACTCAGCAAGGCCCCGCCACCCACCCGCCCGTGAGGTTGGTCTTCTCTGCGAGGGCCTTGGCGCTGGCGCTGCACTCTGACGCTGCAAAGGCCTCTACATCCTCCAGAGTCACGCCAGATGCTCCAAACCTGGTGTGGCAGATGATGCATGGGCATGACAATTTGATCTTCAGTGGCTCCTTGCCCCCCAGCATGACAGGGTACACATCCAGCTGGGTCAGTGCCGGCACCCGCATCGTACCGATTGATGGTCATGAAGCGATCGAAGGATGCAGCGAGGGCTCCCGTATCAGTTCCGGCCTTGGCAGCTACATCCACCAGCTCCGCCAGCACCCCAGGCTCGAGGCCCTTGTAGGCCGTGGAGTGCCGCAGGAGAGCGGCCTGCACGAGCGCCTCCATGCCGGCAGGTCCCTCGCGCACAAACGCAGCCTACTTGATGTGAGATTTGGGTGGAATGTGGATCACCCGACGTACGCCAGGCATGGCTTGCCACCCGGGCTGACCCCTCCCACATTCGAATTGCGACATGGGCATTTTGCCACGCTGGCTCTCCCGCGCCTCCGGCAGTCGCGCCCAAGAACTTGCGCCTTCCATCGAACACATTTACAATGCAAGAGCGTGGAAGGACGGGCTAGGACTCGGCTCCAGACCTTCTCCTAATTTCTCCACCAGCACCCGAGACTAGGCGTCCGGTCGGAGCGGGCGGACTCGGTCTCCATGATTATCCCAGTGCGCTGCTTCACATGCGGCAAAGTGATTGGGAACAAGTGGGACACATACCTCGACCTCCTCCAGGCAGAATATTCCGAGGGGTGAGTCGCGGTGGAGCGCAAGAGGCGTTGAGCGACCAGGACTGGTGGTTTTGCAGTTCGAGCATGCTTGATGCAGGCTGCCAGATGCTCACTGGTTTCTCCTCCCATCGCCCCAGGGATGCCATGGACGCTCTGGGCCTCTCCCGCTACTGCTGCCGGCGCATGATCATGACGCATGTGGACCTCATAGAGAAGCTGCTGAACTACAACACGCTGGAGCGGGCGCCCAAGGTCCCCGGCGGATGAGACTTTGCCCCTTGCTTCCTTCCTGTTCTTTTCTCTCCCGCTACACACTTGTACCACCCCCTTTAAAGACTGTGCCGTCTTTGCCCATGTAACAGGCAGCCAAGCCACAGGTGTGTCTTGTCAAGCGGGACAGGGCAGTCACGGAGTGGTGCATGGGGCGGCGAGCCAGCATGCATTGGTACCCTGCGCCCCTTGGGCGGGGGCCCGACATCCAAGCATCTCCACCCCCCTCTCCCCACGCCTCCATCCTCACTCCCCATTCATCCGGCAGGTGACGGCGCGCCTGTGGGCCTCCAGCCCCTCCACCGCCGCCATGGTGGCCACGGTGGGCCCCAGCAGGTCCAGCCCCTGCCGCGTCAGCTCCTGCACCGTCATCTTGCGCGTGAAGGTGTCCAGGCTGACCCCCGAGTACATGCGCGCATAGCCATAGGTTGGCAGCGTGTGGTTGGTCCCGCTCGCGTAGTCCCCCACCGACTCCGGCGTCCAGCGCCCCAGGAAGACGGAGCCGGCGCTGGCCACGTGGGGCACCCACTCCCCCGCATCGGCGGTGTTTATGATCAGGTGCTCCGGCGCGTAGGCCTCCACGAAGTCCAGCGCCTCGGCCCGCCCCGCCACGCAGACCACGCGCGAGTGGCGCAGCGCGGCGCGCGTCGCCGCGGCCCGCGGCAGGCGGTCGCACTGTGCGGCGACCTCCGCCACCAGCGCGCCCACGTCCACGCCCGGCAGCGCGACCAGCACCGCCTGCGAGTCCGGCCCGTGCTCGGCCTGGGACAGCAGGTCCAGCGCGACGTGGGTCGGGTCGGCCCCTGCGTCGGCCACCACCAGGACTTCGCTGGGCCCCGCGGGCATGTCGATGGCCACCATGGCCTCTCCCGCGGCCAGCGCCACCTTGGCCGCGGTGACGTACTGGTTGCCGGGTCCGCACACCTTGTGCACCTTTGGCACGGAGGCCGTGCCCCAGGCCAGCGCTGCGACCGCCTGCGCGCCGCCGGCGGCGAGGACGTGGGTCACCCCCGCCGCGCGCGCGCAGTAGAGGACCTCGGGCGCGATGGAGCCGTCGGGTCGCGGCGGCGTGGCCAGCACGATGGTGCGGCACCCCGCCAGCGAGGCGGGGACGGCCAGCATGAGGGCGGAGGAGGGGAGCACGGCGGTGCCGCCGGGGACGTACAGGCCCACGGCCGCGATGGGGCGGGTGACGCGGGAGCAGCACACCCCCGGCATCGTCTCCAGGGTCAGGTCGGGGGCGGCCTGCGCGGCGTGGAAGGCCGCGATGTTGGCGCGCGCGGTGTCGAACGCGGCGCGCACCTCCTCGGGCAGGTCGGGGACGGGGAGGTCCTGTCGATTCGGGAGGTGGTGCTGGTGTTGGCATCGCAGGAGGCGTGCATGAGAACACTGAAGGGGTCGTTGTGTACTTGCTTGGGATGCAATGAGCGAGGGAGAGGGGAGGGAAGGCAACACAGACGTGGGCAGCTGAGGAATACGGCCGAAGATGACGGCGTCACCGGCGCGGCGGCGGCCATCTGTCGTGAGTCTCCACAGCAGTCAGCAGGTCACGGACTCTGAGCCTCTGCGCCATCCACTCAGAGAACCCGGACACGGGCCCCCTGCCCCTCCACTCCACACGGAACGACCACCCCCGAGGCACACCTCGATGGGGGTGCACACCGCCGCAGGGCTGGCGCGGTCGAACTTCAGGGTGTACTCGCGCACCGCCTCGTCGCCACGTACGCGCACATCCTCGATGATGGGCTCCACCTGGGAGCGAGGGAGGGGTTGGCTGGCTGGCGCCGAGCATGGGCCCCGGCCCTGCAGGCCGATGCCGGCAGCGCCAAGACACCTGCCGCAGTGGGCGTCCCCTGAGACCACCCATCTCAACCTCCCCGCCACACCGGCCCCATGCACACCACCCCCTCACCGTCTTCAGGATGGAGGCAAAGTCGATGCGGGGCCGGGCGGTGGCAGCCCGGAGCTGGGCAGCGTCCAGTTCCGATGCCTGGAGGACCTCCATGACCCCTGGGGGAGCAGAGACCGCCTGTGCCGATGCCTGGGGACACCTGGGCCTGCCCCGTACACCCGCGTAGCGAGGGACCGCTGCGGGCAGGGAGTGGAAGGGCACGAAGCTGGAGGACACTGTCCCTGCCCGAATCGCGCCAAACATGCTGGACACCCAGTCGAGTCAATGCAATTCCCTTGCGTCCAGTGCAGCAAAGAGGGAACACCACGCACAGTCTATGGCCCCGGAGCACGTGCCATGAGATCGCTCTCGCGCCCGGAGCGCCTGCGCATTTGGCGGGAAGGGGTGTGACCTCGGCCTCAGCTGCACCTGCCCCGATGGCGTACAGGGGCGCCCATGGAGACCGATCACGACCCACATTACCAGTCAGCGGCGTGAGTGAGGGTGGCCGGCAGTGCCGAGGGCATGCGTCGGCCCTGTCACGCCCCGAGATGTCGCAGCAGCAGCAGCAGCGGGATAGATTCAACATCGCCCCCGGGCGGGGTAGGGACAGGAACAACATAGGCTCCGGCGCCATGGTCACGCTGGGCAGCAGCAAGGTAGGCACGCATGCCGATCACGCCAACCCCGTGCTTCTGTGCGTGCCAGCGAGTACTCCTTCCGGCCCATGCCGCTCCCCCTCACCCTCTGCCACGCCCGCCCACGCGCAGCGCACCAAGGCGGGCGTCAAGCTAGCGGTACCGAAGCCCGTCAATCTCCCCTCCCTGAAGAAGGTAGGCTCCTGCTGCCGTGCTCACGGATGTGTACGCCAGTGGCGGAGGTCGGGGTGTCTGGCTCCTGCCTCCCTCCCTGGGCCCCTGTTCAAATCTCCGCCGGCCTCGCGATACGCAGGAGCATGCCGGCACCATATCCACCGCCCTCGCAGCCCGCGGCCAGGGCTGGGGCGGGGAGGAGGGCGACATGCCTGACGCAGGGGATGGGCAGGCCTCCCTGATCGAGAAGGCGACCTGGGCCTCCGCCGAGGCAGGGCCGCGAGTGCCGGTGCCCTCGCTCGCCTCCCGGCATCGCCCCAGTACCTTCAATCCCTACGAGTTCCCCTCCCTGGGCGCGGAGGCCCGGCCCGGCCCGGCGCCAGGCACCTCCGCGCACCTCGGGACCTCGGGCAACTGGGACGAGGACGAGCGCAACTACCACGGCCCGGGGCCGCAGGGCCCGCCCCAGAGGTCCCAGGATGCCAGGTGGGTGGGATGGTGGGGGGCGGCTGGTCTGCTCGCGCCCTGCGGCCGTGCCTGGGTCGAGCAGGGCATGGGGCAGCAGGTGGGCCTGAGTCGCAGGCGCGGCACCTATCCAGGCAGGACCAGGGGCAGCCCACGCCTGCAGCCGGCGCTCGCCTCCATGGCACACCACGTGTCGTTACCACAGGGAGTCGTACGGGGAGCAAGGCTACCCCTCGCGTTACGGCGGGCCGGAACCCCCGCCACACCTCGAGCACTGGCAGCGCGAGGCCCAGCCGCCGCACTGGGAGCGGGGCCGCGGCGGCCACCGCGAGGACCTGGAGCCACGGGGCCGCGCCCCGGCGGGGTCGCGGGACTGGCGCCGCCAGCGCGGCGACTCGCCCTCGCAGCCCCCGTACGGGGGAGGGCCCGGCGCCGGGCCCTTCAGGTGCGGCGAATCGATGGTCGTGGATTTGGTCCCCATTCTTGTATGGGGAGTGAGAGAGGTCTTCGCTCTCCCACAGGTCACCTGCGCTGTCTGTGTCACGCCCTGCTGTCATCGGCAGCCCAAACCATCACCGTCGACGCTCCTGCTGTGCTCCCCGATGCCGTCTTCCTGCTTTTGCTGCCGACGTCTGTCGACGCCGGAGGCCCCGGGGTCATTTCATCGCAGCCTTGTTTCCCGTCTGCCCCTGCACCCCTCGACGCCCAAGTGCCATGCGATGATCCTTCCCATGCACCCCACCCGATGCCATCACATCGCACAACCAACCAACCTCGCAGGCCCCAGGGCGGGGAGGAGCGCTGGTCGCGCGGCCCAGCCCCGGGGCCGGCCCGGCCCCGGGACGGCAGCGGCGGCGGCCGGCGCGAGGAGTGGAGGGACGGCCCGGGCGGCGGGTACGGACCCCGGGGAGGGGCGCCGGAGCCCGAGCCCCCCTCGGATCTCTTCCCGCCCCCGCCCCCGCCGCCGCCGCGGCGCTCGGAGGCCGGGGGCGCGGGCGCCGCGGGCGTCCGCGACGTGGAGCGCGACGCCTTCAACGCCGAGCTGCAGCGCATGGTGGAGGAGATGCGCGCCGGCGAGGACTGCGCAGGGACGGGTCGCCGCGGCGGCGCGCAGGCCGCGCCGGAGGCCCCGACCGATGGGCGAGGCGGCGCGTGGCGGGCCCCGGCACCCGCGATCGGCGGCGGCGAGCTGGGTCCCGGCGGAACACCCTTCCAGGAGGCGCCGCGGTCCCGCCAGCAGGCACCGGGCTCACCCGACCTCGGCGCACACGGGGACGCACCGGGTTCGCCGCAGGCCGCCTTCCAGCCGCCGCCGCCGCCCCCGCCCCCTCGCGGCCCGGAGCAGGCGGCCAGCGTCGGCGAGTCCCCGGTGCAGCGTGCCGGCGAGGGGACTGTCGTGCAGCGGACGTCCCGCCCGGCGGCCCCCGCCCAGCAGGCGACTGCGAGTGCGCCTGGGAACCCGTCCACCATTGCGGCAGGGGTGATTCCCTCCGCCCCGCCGGCGCTGCTGAGGCGGCCGGCGCAAAAAC